TCTCTCCCCCCTCTCTCTCTCTTTATCTATCTATCTATCTCTCTTTCCCTCTCTCGCCCTTCCTTCCTCCCTCCCTCCGCCTCTCTCTCTCTTCCTTTATCGCTCCCTCTTGCTTTCTTGCTCCCTCTCTCTCTTATCCTCTCTCTCCCTCTCTCTTTCTCTCCCCCTTCTATCTCTCTATCTCCTCTCTCTCTCTCTCTCTCTCTCTCTCTCTCTCTCTCTCTCTCTCTCTCTCTCTCTCTCTCTGCGCGTTCCGTTTCCCGGGCGGTGCGTTCAGTAGGGGAAGAATGACTGTGCAGCATACGCGCACACCACCCAGGTATTTGCGTGTGTGACGGTGCGGAACTCAAGCGAACCCACCATTCCCAACACAGTTGAAATCAAAACGAAACTGCGACATTAACCCTCTGTCACACGAGTCGAAATGTTACAAAATCATCGTTCGTTTTAAGAAGAATATTTCACGCGAATATACACCAGGGGTAGATACTATTGTTAAGCTATTGAACACCCTTTGGAGAATCTAGCTGAACTCCCGTGAAGGGTGAAGGAACCATAGCTGATCAGAGCGTTGTATTTGAAACACAACAGTGACACACCTGCAAACTATCGGCGTTTTCTAGATCTATCTACCCGCGGAAATGCCCAGCTTTACTTCACTGGAAATGATCTTCCACTTTTCTGAAGGATTACGTTTCATTCCTCCACAAGGATATATATTATAATGTTGTTCCGGACAAAGAGTGATTGATTATTGAACTGACTTTGTTTCCGGGGGTTGTTGTTGTTGTTGGGGTTTTTTTTTTCAATCTTTACTTTCGGCTATAGTCCAGTCTTCCGTCTTTTGTCATGCGATCCTGTGAGAAGATTCAGTTCACCAAGTTCTGTGTTTCGGTTTCGGATACTAGATCTACCTCACTGTAGGCTATTATTTTTGTGAACGAACTGTGGTATGAGTGGAACTGGCATTATAACGCTTGTTTTTTTAGTCCCAGCGCTCTCGGTATAACATATATATGACGTACCAAACCTTTTAGCTGATTGATTTTTTCTCTGACAATATTAACGGGGTGTTTTTTTTTAATCGTGATTTTTTCCCATTTTTGGGCGTAATCTCCGCTGTGACCCAATTTTATAGATAGATAGATAGATAGATAGATAGATAGATAGATAGATAGATAGATAGATAGATGGATAGATATTGTAATCGTATGATGCCTATGTGAACTTACTTTTGTAACTTCTGACTGCGTGATAAGAACGCCTCTTATTTCAAGCGTTTTTCTTATCGGTTAATTAAGTTATAATGTTTTCCGTCTCATAAATGGCCCCAAATTGTGAGACAGAGGCAACTGTAGAAATCATTTCGTAAACCAGATGTTGAGCTGTACTAAGCCCACAGTTGTTGTTGTTTGTTTTTTGTTTTTTTGGGGGGGGTTAGATGGGGGAGGGGTGTTCAGTTGAAGTTTCTAAGATTCTAAATCCAAAAAGATGGGGGGACAGATGATACAGAAGCTGATGAGGCATAGAGAAATGTGTGCCTCGATTGTGTTCAGAGGATGGTATCCGTTCTATAATTTAAAAAAGCTAAATCTGTAGTATCGTTTGCTTGTGCTATAGAGACATTTCGTTTAAATTTAAATTCTTAATGTTTGAAAAGGAGAATTTTAAAAATACAGATAATTTCTGGTACCCACCGCCTATCTTGTTCGAGGTGTCTTAATTGTAGTTTATGCTCTCCTGCACAGCTTTATATGATAATATTATATAAATTATTTATGATCACCAGAAGATTGCGCAATGTGTCTGCTAAGCGGCATAAGCCAGGCTGTCTCAGATAGCCTTGGGCATAACCTACAACTTGCTGGCCCAGACAAAGGTTCCTACCTTGAAAACATACGATTTTCTTCTCTCTTTTTTTAGTAGAGGGTTTTACGGCGCTCGCAACTGCATACGGTCATATGAGCGCTGATTTTCTTCTCTGAGTGCTGTACACATTACATTTCTAGAGTTTATTTTAATGAGTCCACTTCGATGAGGCTAGTCGTGTAAAAAAAAAAGCCTTGAAAAGACAATTGCTAGTAGTGTACAAAAAAAAAGTCTTGAATAGACAATTCGCTACCTTAGAATCACAAAGCTCTATCTGGCATCTTTGGCGCTTTGAGTTACTAATACCATATGTGAGGTCAGAAACAGAATGTTCTATATGTTCTATCAAAATCGTAAAATTATTCGGAATCGTTATAGAGAGATTCAAAGAATTGATTTGGAAAAAGGTTGACCCGTTGTGAAATTCAATATTTTCAACGTCACATATCTCAAAATTAGGTACTGAACAGATATATAACTTTTGTAATTCTTGGCTAACGAATTGTTTAATAATTCCTGACAGGACATGATGTATTCCATAGAGACCTCAACACGATCTGTGAGACATTTTTGATCGGTTTGATTGTCTGAAAAACTGTATAGATCAGGACAACTCTTGCCGCGGTGACCCACAAAAGGTAGATCTATAATAATGGGCCCAAACAGGCGGTATATCTGAAACCTAAAATCAGGTATCGTGAAAGACGTTTTGTGGAGAAACCTGAACTGAGTTTAAATCAATTATCAAATTGACCGGGTATTTCGATCTCACTTGGTGATTTCTGTTGACAGGACTTCTTTTGTGTGTGTATTTGTGGTTCAAACAGTGTTCAAAGGGCCGTAAATTATTTACCTCCAACTTACTTTCGCACTCCCTTACTTACTTACTTTCTCGTGGCTCATTCTGAAAATTCGTAATGGGAGACCCGGAGACTGCCACCGCGCCCAATCCGTTAAAACTGGATGGGAAAATCTCCTCGACCCGTCTTGCTCCGATCAACGTGTCCACTTTGAATGCGTACAAAGGCACCAACAAAAATGCGGGGAAGAAACTACAGAAGCAGCAGTCCAGCCTGGCTTTGATGAACGTGGAAAATGGCAGCCAGCGGGCGAAGACGGGAGGAGGACGTGAGATGTTCCTGTCGGGGCCTGATGCCGCCATCATAGGGGAGATGGATGACGGGCCGACTGTCAGTGTGGAGACCAACCCGCTCCCGGACGCTTTTGGGGTGGATAATATTGGAGGTGTAGGGGGCAGGGGAGGAGGGGATGGTGGGGATGCAGGAGGAGGAGGGCAAGGAGGAGGTGGTGGAGGAGGAGGAGGACAAGGAGGAGGTGGTGGTGGTACTAGTATGAGAAGGCGAACAGGTACCAAGGGATCGATGAAGAAAGGTGTTGATAATAACGGCAATGAAGATGCGGAAGCACTAGAAGGAGAGGATTTCGATGATGATGAGATGGATGGACATTCGGAGGCCGGTGACGCCAAGCCGAAAGGAATAGCGAAGCAATTCAAAGAGCTGATTAGAAAGTAAGAAATTGAACTTTGTTTTTTGTCTGTTTGTTTGTTTGCTTGTTTGTTTGTTTGAGTAAGAGGATGCACACTGGCGCAATAACGATAACGCTCATTTATTGCAGGACAAAAAAAAACCTGATAGGCCAGAAACAACACACA